GATCATTCAAACAGGAAAGCATCTTAAGTAAAAAGTACTCATGAACATAGCTCTTTCTGCGCCACTGATCAGGCCCAATTCGCATTCAGATATCTCCATATACTGCAATAAAAGCCGTATACGTGGAGGATCTTGAAGATTGCGCAACAATGCGTTCTCGCAACATTTCTCAACCCCACTTCGGCCAACACTTACTGGAAATTCGTTCGTGGTTCTTCACGGGTTGACCCTTGCGATGTGGCCTCGAATCGGAATGAAAGTTTTCGCGAGGAAACCTTTTAATCCCTTCTGTGATCGATCGCAGTCACGCATTTCACCTCAAAAAGCACACGGTATTCTCTTTGCGCCTGTTCGGCTCTGAATGGTCGACGTCTTGAACGTTTATTGATGTGTATGCATGAACAATAATCGCGTTATCTCCTGCCTGAGAACACATTTGCGTAGGAAAACCCTGCTTTAGGAGAGATAAATTATGCGCGACAGGTACAACGTTACACGAGGGCTAGCATACTTGGACATATTTGGACATGAATCTCATACTGACCGTCTTAAGTTCGACAATGAAATGATCATTTGATGAAATGCAAATTCGATATAAAAATTCAACATATGTGACATTTACAAATCGATCTACGACGCAAATAGACATCTCAGAAGCTCTAAAACTGGAACGATCAAGTGAAGAAAAAGCACACAACCAGAACTCTACAGAAAAAAAAACTGGGCAGTTGGGTAAAAAAAACATTGGAATCCATCAACTATCCAGCTGAGCATGTACTATATGTCTGAATCGACGGTTCTGACTGCTTTCAAGGAGCCGCTCTGTCATTTCCTTCTGAAAAATTTTCATAATAGAAAATCATAAAAAGTTTAGAGAGAAAAAACTACAATGAAGTTGGGCAAGCCTGCTTTCATTTGGAAAAGTGGGAACGCGCACAATTTTCTGCCCCGTGATTTTGCGTGACAATTTTTCTAACACATTTTTTTATTCTGACAAAGAGAGCAACAAAAACAACCAAGCAAATTCAGTGTTACCTCCAAGGCTTAACAATACTGGGTAAAGCTTGCTCAAATCGTTTTCCAAGCGGACTTATCTATGAGGCATCAGGGTAATACTTGAGCAGTCTTCAGAGAAAAACGGATTGTTTCCTTTAATGAACAAATTAGTCCAGCCCACTATCCATTTCGCTGTCGTGAGCCTGATGAAGCCATCAACCAAAGACATAAAGGGCGTCCTATATCTCACCATCAGTTTTCGCCGTTGGTCCGATGCCCAACGAATAACGAGAAAGATCCACCCCTACTTGAGAAAGAGGACATTTTTCGTCAACTTATGCGCTTTTGTCAAATTTTGGCTCTACAATTTAACCCATTCTCTAAGAAAAACAAGAAACGAAACATCTGGTGAACCCCTCTGTTGTTACACCACAGGCTCAGTTTTCCGGAACTTTGCTGTGACGTAATTCTCAGAAAGTTTCAGCGAACTCATCTTACTTCTTCACAGACAAAGGTTTTCACCGGTACCAGTAGGCAAGCTCAAGGAGTAAACGCACGTCTTAGAGGCATCCTGACGCGAAGCTTCCACTCATGCTCGACAAAGCAAACCTCTAACTACTGTACACACAAAACTCATGCCCTGTGTACATAAGTACGTAAGTAGAAGAATCATATGAATGGCTTCGAAAACCGAGCAGGAATCGGTAAGACTAAAAAATGCTTAGAAAAACCTAAAGGAATACCGAGGAAGACAGAGTAATGGACTACTGCAGGCTAACTGCAGCCGTCCTTGTCTACAGACTGCAGCGAAGTACTGCCATTCCTAAGAAGCACATCAAAAAAGGTAAAAAGGACGAAAGTTATGAAACATAGTGAATGCTGGAAATTCATAGCAGAAGGCATGTATATAATATTTTTCAAAAAGTTGAAAAGATAGTGCAGAAACTCTTCGCCCAGGTGGCCATGGAAAATCGTTATCATTTCGCCTCAAGCCAGGAGCAAAGTCAATTTCATGGTACTATCGACTTGGCGCGATTTTGCACAAACTTCTCGCTTAGGTCTGCCCATATTTAGTTGAAGGGGTCTCAATCTGGCCCTACGTTTGTGAAGAAGAACTCTTCAGATTGTCGCGGTCCTATTTTTGAACGGTATTTGCCTTACACCGACACTGAGTCTTCAATGAAAGATGTTTTCACGAACAGAAGTGAGAATCAAGCAGAGGCTTCAAATGACTCTTCAGAACAAGGAGGCTCGACAAAAACTGACATCGATTACTTTTAGCATTCTACTAATGCAGCCCCGACCCCTCTGTGCTCTCCATTCTATTGGGAATTGCGAGTTCATTTCGAAAGAAATAAAAATGTAATCTATAATTGATTGCCAACATTTTCATGGTAATTTTACCCACTTAATTTTTTGTACCTTAATTTCATAGCAGTTTTCATGAGCCCATATAATGAAAGCTCTATAGTGCGTCAATACCTTTTGTGCAGCGCGAACAGCTCAGAGACTTGGACTGAAGGCAAGTAACGCGCATCTAGAGAGTGTTTCCTAGCGCTGTGAGAGCGCCATACACCATTCCCAATATGTGTACTTGTGAGAGCGGTGGGAGGTTCCCTACTCCATCGACCGTTAGAGAATACGTTTCAGAGAACATAGGACCAAAAAACAAAATGGGTCCAGAGATGTTGTGCGATTTGGTGATTACTGTTGGCATGAAAAGGTTATCGATTGCACACTTCACTTGTAACACGTCAGACGTATACAGGCCTGGAGGTCAGACATATTGAAAACAGGGCTCACTGGACAAAACTGGTTCACAGCACCGACAAATGGAGACAATGGTGATCAAATTAGGTGACTCATGCATCTCCGTAAAGCGCATATTGTACTTATAAAAGGGATAAAAGCTTCAAGCAAGAAGTGCTCAAGACGAATAATAGCTGAGGCGAGGAAAGCCACGTCTACAATGCGATTTAAGATGGATTACAAATAGAACAAATAGAGAGAAGGCACTGTTACTCTACCCTTGTATCAAACCCTTAATTGAACAAGACTTAGGCCAGAATCGGAGCCTACACAACAATCAATTTCTTTTCACGTCAGCAAACAAGTGTTGCAATTATCAAAGCCATCCAGATAATTCAGCCATCCAGATCTATTTGAAATGTCAGCAGCATCGAAATATCGTGAATTAGGATTTCCAGAAAGGTTGTAGGACCCGAAAAAGAATGACGAATGGGAAGGTACGGGTCATGAATACTGTCGTGCTTGTTGGCAGAGCAGGGGAGAGCGAG